TCTCGTAAGTCAAGTTTGGTGAAGATCTTCCCCTTTCCTAGGTGGGCTAGCATGTCCTTCATGAGCGGCAGGGGGTAAACATTTTCCATGCAAATGTGTTCAGGTTTCTATAAACTACCCGACGAAAGGAGCCATCTTTGCTTTCCTGGAACAGTACCAGCGGCGCCACCCTTGGTCTGGCTGGTTGGATAAAACCCCGTTCTAGGTTTTTGTCAATGAACTTTCGTAACTCCCCCAACTCTCGAGGGGTCATGGGGTAGATCTTTGGCTTAGGGAGCTTTACCCCAGGGTGTATTTCAATAGTACAGTCCGTAGCTCGGGGGGGGGGGCAGCACATCTGAGGCCCTTTCACTAAAATCTTCTCGGAGATCCCAATACTCATTTGGAATCTTCTCCTCCCCTTCAATGTGGCCTATTGCCACCTCCGCCCCTTCATGTTTTACTCCGTCCTCAAGGGGGGGTTCTTCCCTCTCTAGTCTCAGGTTTCTGGTGCGAATGCGCAAAACCCCCATCTTCTAGTTAACACGTGGTTTCCATCGATGGAGCCAGGGTAGTCCAAGTATGAGGGGTCGTTCCATGCCAGGGGCCACAATAAAACTGAGAGTCTCTACATGATCCCTCAATTGCATTTCAATGGGTTCAGTCACAAAACTGGCTGGGCCCCCTCCTGCTATCGATCCGTCCAACTGGCAGAACGCAATGAGCCTTTTTAACGTTTTTAGCCTTAGGCCCATTTTCTCCACCACTTTTGGGCTGATTATGCACCTGGTGTACCCAGAGTCTAATAGGGCTAGCATCTGCGCGTGTGCCCCTGTGGATGGCACCCTTATTTCTATGGGAACGAGCATGGGGCCCTCAGTGTGACTCACCAGATCATCGGAGTCAGAGTCGGAGTCCGTCTCGCTGTCGTCCGCAGTGGTCAGAGTTCCCAATTCACCCTGGTTTCGGGGAGCGAACTCAACGACTTCCCCTTTCAGGGTGGTTTCCCGGGCTTTTGCGGGCACTTTGTCAGCCTTCTTTGGCCCTGAGCTGGTAGATTTTGGCACTGGCTTGGAGAAGCACTCAGCGGCCCAGTGACCTTCCTTGCCACACTTGAAGCATGTGAAGGGCTTCGACTTGGGTTTGAACTCCGCTCTCTCCTCAGCCGTCTTTGGCGCTCCTTTGCGGTAGTAGTAGGATGACGGATCCCCTGTACGGCCCCCTTGGAGTCGGCTTCGGGCCAGATCAATCTCCACGTCCTCAGCTACTACGTACCAACCAGCAAATCTTCAGGGACCCCCCGTACTCTACAATCTTGTAAACGTCTTCATTCAGTCCATCCTTAAAGCTCTCCAGTAGGGCCTCTTCTGACCACCCTGTCATAAAAGGTGCCAGCTCGCGAAACTCTTGGGTGTATTCTGCCACCGATCTCCGGCCCTGCTGGATACCCTTCATTCGGAATCTCGCCTTCTGCTCAGCTAGGTGTCTTCAAACCACCTCCTAAGAGCCCCCATGAATAGGTTGTAGTTTCTCAGCAAGGGGGGGTTGTTATTGTGGAGGACCACCATCCATTCAGCTGCTACTCCCTCTAGGGCATTCGTGATGCATCTCACTCGTGCTGCATCTGACAAGTCCCCCCCCCCAGTCCTGCATGTGGTTCCACACTTGGGTCAGGAAAAGCCCCAAAGTCTTCGGATTCCCTCCATACTTTTCAGTTAGGGGGGGGATTTTTGGTTTTTTGCGTCTCCGGGGTGGGGCCTGCAAGGCTGGGGGTCCCTGGGCTGCTGCATCCCTCGCTTGGGTACCCAAAGCCTGAGATGTTCCTTCCCCAGCTTTCTCTTCCTCTCCCCCACAAACAGTCTCCTCTGGATCCACTCTGGGGTAGTCTCCTCCCTTCCCCACAAGGAATACATAAGACTCATGGTTTTTTTGGCTTTCTTTGGCATCGCAGAGGAGTTGCATAGCTTGAGCAATCATGAGGCTCTCCTTTTGCTCTTGCAACCACACGGCCTCTCCCTTACGGGGTCTGGAGCTGGTTACTCCTTGGGGGGTCCTCGCCAGGTCCAGCAACCTCCCTACTCCCCGCGACCATCTGGCTTCCTCTGGCTCCTCTCTCAGCTGTAATTTTTCCATCCACTCTGTGGCTTCTCCCCCTGGTTGGAATGAAGTCATCGTAGAGCCAGCAGCTCCCATCTGATCTAAATCACTTTCTTGATCAGAGTTCCTGTGGTTTTCAGCCCCCTCAGTAGCTGTCCGGGATGGCTGAGAATGAGATTCTGCTTAATGTCAGGTATGCTTCCTTCAAAGTCCAAGAAAGAATGACCCCAACTCCATTGTTTTAAAGAGAAAAGTACTTTTACTGGAAAATGAAATGATCGCAGTCAAGAAAAAGCAGAATCTGAGGCAAAAGCATGAAAATTACAGATAGAAAGCATCCCCTCCCACTGTCCAACGTAAATCATCCAATCCAAAGGTCTCCCAGGGATCAGGTGGAAGCACACGTCTGGCAGTGTCATCAATCAGGAATGCCGTGGCCGTTGACCCAATAGCAGCTTCAAAGATGCAGCACTATATCTTAGGAATCACTTTCGTTTCTCTCTCCAGTACCCTTATAACTCAATGCTAGCTCCCCCCTCCCCCCGTTACCATGGCAGCCAAAGCAGCAAAAGGCGGAGGCTGACAGTATCAGGATGACTAGAACTTTTTGCAGTAATCAAAGTCTGATTTCACTAATGCATTATAAAGTGGCATTATCACTTCTCGTGGTCTTGATGTTATACCTCTGTTAATTCAGCCTAGGACTGCATTGGATTTTTGGCAGCCTGTTTCTGCACATGCGCAGATCATCAGTGATGATGTCGGGGTGGGTGGGCGGAGCCTCCCACCACCATTACTACTGGTTTGCAAGAACCAGACCGAACCGGGAACAACCCATCATTGGCCTGCTCATATTTAAATGATGGTCCACTAGGACACCTAGATCTTTCTCACATGTCCAAGAATACTATAGTATGTCCATATCACTGGTCCAGTAATTTAATCACTTGATCAAAGAAGGCAATAAGGTTTGTGTGGCATGAACTGCTTTTAACCAACCTATTCTGGCTTCTAGTAGTTACTTTGTTCATTTCTAGTGCTCACAAATCCTGCGCCTAATTATTTTTTCCAAGATTTTCTCAGGTATTGGTCTCAAGATGAATAGCCTATAGTTTCTTGGATCCATATCCCCCCCTCCTTTTTATAGATTGGTATCACATCAGCTCTTTTCCAGTTTTGAGGTAAGCCTGCAGAATGGGATCTTGTTTGTAAATTCCTGGATAGACAGGGAGGAGCTGTGCCAAGAATGCAGACTGTATCCTTCAACTGGAGCTGATTGTGGAGAAACCTCTGAGGTTCTTCCATGTGGAGATTGAAGTCAAAGACATTAATGACAATGCTCCCAGGTAACAGATTCTGAGTATGGCTGAATTTCTTTTTACATCTGGTAGAATGTGAATTCTACATCTAGTCAAAAAGGTAAATGAAAGTTTCTTCTGTATCAAAGTAAATATATTTTCTGAAGTATAGGAAGTAATAATTGTGTTACATTTAAAGCCCTCTAAAGCACTATATCCAATGTTGGGCAATATAGTTTATGATAAATTCAAAGAAGTGCTAATAAGAGCAGTAAGGATTACGGGTGTGGAAAGAAAAGAGAAATTGAAAAATGGATTCAACCTTGAGATAAGAAGACGTGATTGACAGCATCCTTAAAGAAGCTGAAGGAATATCATACAGAAGAAACCTTGTTTTCTTGGTCCCAAGGGTGAAGAAATAGAACAGTGGACAATTACTATGTTACATGCACGGACAAACATTCGGATGGTTTCTATACCTGGGCTACTTTATCTGAGCAAACAAAAACTACAATAAAGGTTTGTATTAAAAAACCCGATAGATCCTCTTGATTCAGGATTAACTAGTGGTGATTGAGTTCATGAATTTTTTTCCCCCTGGCTAATGAAGTTAATAAATTGGCTGCTGTTTTCTCCCGAGCTATGAAAAGTAAAGGTACAAATTCAGTGAGTAACTCCTTGCTCTCCCAGCAACCTCTGATGATCTGCAAATGCAACCAGTGACTCATACCATACATTATGAAGTACCATACATTATGAAGAAAATCTGATCATTAAATCATTGCTTCCTCCCGGATCGCTTATTTCTTGTGCTACCACAAACTGAATCAAATTTATTATGCCACTGATGGATTTTGAAATCCCTCTGTTATATATTTGACCAACCCATCTTTTAGATGAAAGTTCTTTCTCATGATGAAAAACATTAGTTCCCTGTTGTTTAAAAAAAAAAAGATTTTAAATTGCTCAGTTTAGAAAACATGTATTGATAACATTAATGAGCATAGAAAAAAATATTTTCATAGGCTTAGGTAAAAAAGGAGGAAAAGAACTTTTATGTACTTGAGATAAACTAGTTTCAATAGTTTAAATAAATAAATGTATAAGAAAAATGTATAAGAAAATTAAGAATAATAAAATAAAAAATTTTGAAGAAACAAAAAAAACTAATACTATAGAATAGTTTGGAAAAAATAGTCAGTACAGTATTTCCCTCCTTATTTGCAAGTCAAGTTGAAATATATCTCCTTTAAAAAATAATTGAAACTGCTACTTCTTTATTCCTATGATTGTGAGACAAATACTTTTTTCTGTAATTAGTGATATCTGAAACCCTAACTTCTTCATTTAAGTATCTAAGAATAAAGGGGGAAAAAATCAATAGAAAATGTATTTAAACACCTTGCATTTTGTTACCAAATAAGTTTTGTTAAATTTCTCAACCATTTCTGGTGGCAGATGTGGAAGAACAATTTAAATCATCCTGCTAGGTAAGATAAATGAAAGATATGATCTTGTAGAACTTAAATATGTCGTCCAAATAGATTTCTGTACTGAATGGATAGAAAGGCCTACATCATAAGTAGTTTCAATTTCCAACCTGTATGCTAGCTGTACTGAAAACACATACATACAGTATACATTTACATTTCTCAATAAAGATAATTGTAGACTGTAGTTTTTAAAGAGATAAGCAACTCTGTGCAACTTCCGTTCTGTGTTAATTTTTCTGCCATCTTCAGTTGTGAGATAGGAAGAAAAATCATGTTTCTATAGTTCTTCAACTCAAACAAGATGTTTCACTGTGGATGAGTGGGATGATTTTTCTTTTCCTTTTTTCTTAATATCATTGTTTATTACTATAAGCTGCTAATTTAAACAAGATAAAGGCAATAACTGACCCCAAAAAATATATTTTTGTGGTTAGGATCCCACAGAAATGTCACAAACCTGGTTCAGCCAGATAAGAAATTTCATTGCAGGTAATAATTAAGCCATATGAAACAGCTGACTGCCTATAATGTAAGTTGGTCTTCTATCTGCAGTGATTCAGATGCTTAGCTTCCCCCTTCTCATGAATTAACAAATTCTTTGTGTAGCTGTTTGTGGCCTTAAAACTGATTGTTGAATGTTAACATAATTACCAACACTGACTCTTGGCATACTTTTCACATGTAGTATACTACCACACAGTTGTTTAAATGCCAGGTATCTTCCTCCCAAAAAGGAAATGAAAGTTTATTCTGCATCAAAATAAATATATTTTCTAAATTATAGGAAGTAATAATTGCATTACATTTAAAGCCCTCTCAAGCACTATATTCAATGTTGGGCAATATAGTTTATGATAAATTCAAAAGAGTGCTAATAACGGCAGTAAGGATTATGGGTGTGGAAAGAAAAGAGAAATTGAAAAATGTGTTCAACCTTGAGATAAGAAGACTTGATTGAGGGTGCATTTAATAGCATCCTTAAAGAAGCTGAAGGAATATCATACAGAAGAAACCTTGTTTTCTTGGTCCCAGGAGGGAGAAAATAGTGCAATGGGTTCTGACTTCATGAATTTCCCCCCCCCCCCAGCCTAATGAGGTTAATAGATTTGCTACTATTTTCTTCTGAACTATGAAAAGGAAAGGTACAAATTCCTTATTGTGGTTAGATGTTCAACATCTCTGTATGTGTGTGTGTATAAAGAAAAACAAAAACAAAAACCCAATGAATTTTTTTTTATGTGAGGTTATTTAATGACAGACTCATTAAGTCACTTGAAATGAAATAAAAAAGACTAAATGTTTGAATTCCAGTATCTTTTCCTTCTCAAAAGAGTTAGTACAGAAGAGTACATGTTAAACATCTGAAAATAAGTTGTGGAAAAAAGTGATAAAAAATCTATGAAAGTAAAAAAAGCGATACAAAATAAGTATCATTGGGTACGGTTTGTCAGCCAGCTATAAATTTGCTACTGTTTTCTTCTGAGCTATGAAAAGTTAAGGTACAAACTCCTTTATGATGCTTAGATGTTCAGTGTGTCTGTAGGTGTGTGTGTATAAAAGAAAAAAAATGAAATTTTTTTATGTGAGATGATTTAGCGACAGACTCATTAAGTCACTTGAAATTAAATAAAAGATTAAATGTTTGAATTTCAGTATCTTTTCCTTGTAAAAAGATTTAGTACGAAATTAATAGGGGTCATAAGAAATACATGGGTTAGATTAATTGCAACATGTTATCTATTTCTGGAATAAACCAGTTAAGACATCACATGAGTTTTGAGAACTTGACCTGCTTGTCATTTGCCTAAAAAGTTCAGGAGTTGCATATCCGGCCAAATTCAGAAATAAAACTAGAAAAGTACTTCTGCTTTCATAGCATCGGAATATTATTATGAGTTTCATTGCAATTAATGTTCCAATGTTTGTGATTTGGCCAAAAGTCTAATTCAAATGGGTTGTGACTACTTCAACTTCCCTCCATCTATTTGGTGCTCACCTATTGGGAGCAATGGGAAAGATGGCCAGAGAACCAGACAAATATCCATTCCATTATAATACATTTCCATGGAAGCACCAAGAATCAATATAAGATCTAAATTAATATAATAGTTAAAGACCAAAAGAAGGAAAACTACACATTAGAGATACATGAACGCTTCAGCAAGCCCTTGAAGCCTTAAGGAAAGAATATCACAGAGGCTTAATGAAGAATGGAAGTCTGTTTCTCATTCTGAATTTTGATCACAAGAGGTCGCTGTTTCCTAAGGAAACTCTCTAAATGAAACTGAAAATACAGAGCCCCTCCCTCAAAGGGACAGACATTCCTGCCAGCCAGATCCACAAGGAAAATCTCGAACAACAGAGAAAGCTCAACAAGCCAAGATTCAACCTATGAACGCATTGCCAGTATGGCTGGGGTAGGTGGTCTCTGCTCCTGACACCTTTGAGACAAGATATTTAGAGAAAAAGAGAAGAGCTTGTTGGTGTTGTGCCAGTGTCTGCAATGCTTACCTGGCCGAAGGGGCTGCTGCAGCTGCTTCTGCTCCACACCGCCTGGAAAATGGGGAGCGGCCAGCTCCATTATTCTGTGTTGGAGGAATCCCAGCACGGCACCTTTGTGGGCCGCATCGCCCAGGATCTGGGGTTGGAGGTGAGCGAGCTGGTGCCTCGGATGTTCCGGATGCTGTCCAAAGGAGAGAAGGACTATTTTGAGGTAAACCTGCAGAATGGGATCTTGTTTGTAAATTCCCGGATAGACAGGGAGGAGCTGTGTGCCAAGAATGCAGACTGTGTCCTTCATCTGGAGGTGATTGTGGAGAAACCTCTGAGGTTCTTCCATGTGGAGGTTGAAGTCAAAGACATTAATGACAATGCTCCCATCTTCTCAGCCAGGGAACAGATGCTGAGCATGGCTGAACTGATAAAAACTGGTACCCGATTCCCTTTAGAAGGTGCCTCTGATGCAGATATTGGTACTAACACTCTGTTAACATACAAGCTCAGCCCAAGCAACCATTTTATTCTTGATTCAGAAAATGATGAAGATGAGAGTAAATCTGTAGTACTTCTATTGAAGGTTCCACTTGACAGAGAGGAGAGCCCTGTGCATCATTTAGTACTGACAGCCACTGATGGGGGTGAACCAAAACTCACAGGAACTGTTCAGCTAGTCATCAAGGTGCTGGATGTCAATGACAACCCTCCTGTGTTTAACCAATCTGCTTATAAGGTAAAGTTGCTAGAAAATACAGCTAGTGAGTCATTAGTTATTGCTCTGAATGCTGCAGACTTAGATGAAGGGATTAATAGGGAAATCTCTTATTTTTTTAGTAATAAAGCACCTCCACATGTCACAAAGATATTTAGTATAAATTCTGATATTGGGGAAATCAGAATGATTGGAAAATTGGATTACGAAGAAAGTAAGTTCTATGAACTTCCAATCATAGCAGAAGACAAAGGCAGTCCTCAATTATCAGGACACTGTAAAGTTCTCATTGAGGTTTTGGACATGAATGACAACGTTCCAGAACTATCTGTGAATTCTCTCTCTGTGCCATTGCCAGAGAACTCCCCTCCAGGGACTGTGGTAGCCATAATCAGTGCTTCTGACAAGGATTCTGGAATCAATGGGCAGATAAACTGTTTCCTCTGGCCCACTGGTGTACCCTTCAAACTTGAATCTACATTCAAGAATTACTACTCCCTGATCGTTGGTGCAGTTCTAGATCGAGAGCAGATGGCTGAGTACAGGATGGTTGTGACAGTTGAAGATCAGGGCGTTCCACCACTGTCTTCTAGTCTCACCATTTTAGTGCCTATTAGTGACATAAATGACAATGCTCCGGCTTTCACACAGCCCTCCTACACAGTCTTTGTAAAGGAGAACAATCCCCCTGGTGCTCACATTTTCACAATGTCTGCTGGGGACCTAGATATAGCTGAGAATGCCCTGATCACCTATTGGATAGATGAGAAGCTCTGGCCATTGTCAAGCTATATCTCTGTACATTCAGAGAGTGGAAAACTTTATGCTTTGCAGTCTTTGGACTATGAGGAGTTGAAACTGCTGGAGTTCCATGTGAGAGCCAAGGATGCTGGAATGCCCTCCTTGTGTGGCAATGCGACTGTTCAAGTCTTTGTGATGGATGAGAATGACAATGCACCTGCTCTATCAAGGTCATCAGAAGAGAATCTGATTCTTCTAGTGGTCCCCATGATGCCTGGGCATATTGTAGGCAAGGTCCATGCCTTGGATGCAGATTCTGGATACAATGCATGGCTAAAGTATGAATTGGTTGAAGAAAGCAATAGTCCATGGTCTGTGGGGCAGTATAGTGGTGAGGTGAGCACCAAATATTCTCTAGAAGAATCAGAAGGAAGCAAAATCCACAGTGTTTTGGTTCTTGTGAAGGACCATGGAAAACCTCAACTGTCAGCTACAGCCACCTTGAGTGTGTCACTTGTGACAAATGGTCAGACAATGAAAACGGATATTAATCTTCAAAGGTCAGGTGAAAACTTTGTGCCCCTTGTGGACTCAATCAACGTCTATCTGATCATTGCCATCTGCTCTGTTTCCAGCCTCTTCTTGTTGGCTACTCTCATCTACATGGCCCTGCGATGCCACTGCAAGGAAAAGGAACCCATGGTGTATGGCCCTGGCATGGCCACCCTGGTGTGTGCCAGCGAAGTGGGCAGCTGGTCCTATTCCAATCGCCACAGCCACATCCTGGCAGGTGTGAGTGCAGAGGCTGGTATCAAGAGCGATCTCATGATTTTCAGTCCCAATATTCCTGTCTTTGCAGATAATGGGGAACTTATCAATGGGGTGGATGTGCCCCCAGATTCTGCTAAAAAGGTGAGTCCGGTTCTTAGAGTTCTTGTCATCCCCTTAGCATCCCATTTCCATGTTTATAATTTACAATTAGTCTTGGGACAATATGAACCGCCCTGAGTCTTCGGAGAGGGGCGGCATACAAATTGAATGAATGAATGAATGAATGAATGAATAAATAAATAAATAAATAAATAAATATTGTTTTTCAATTTTTAGGTTTAGACACTGGTGGAAAATATATTGAATTACAAATCATGAATCCTTTTTTTTGTAGATAAAATATTTCTCTAATTTGAGAAGCTATAGAAAGGTTCAAAAAAGTTTGACAGTAACTTATATGTGAACAATAATGAATGATTTTTCTATGGTTGATGGTTTTGTTAGTTAATGAATCAGTTATCAATGTAATGCCTCTTTTTGTGACAATGTTTATGGCTAGCATAAATTGCAAATGTTAAAAATTTATTAATCTACTAGATTACACAGAACATTATTTGTAAGTTTGGGAAGTTTATATCTTGTTAATATATTGTTGGTAACTTTAAAAATAGAAAGTCTAATATTGTACAGGAGTTAACAATTGGATAAAAGTAATATGTTTGAAATACAGAAATTATAACTGATAACTGGATAGTCATATTCATAAAATGATAAAATATTACTTTGTACTAGAGCTCTCTAATCCAAACTGGAATGGCCTTGTCAGTTTAACAACCATTAGGTGGATTCTTTTATCCTGTTTCTATTGCAACACCTGCAGTGTCACACTTTGTGAGGTTGCAAGGAATCAAATGATCTTCCTACACCAAAGTCCTTCCCAATCCTTACATTCTATAATTCAAATCTTTGAGAAGTGTCAATTTAGCATGTGTTTGGGGAGTGGGAAAGAATTATATCATATGAAAACCCAGGTCTTTATTTTATGTATCTGAATGAATAATCTGAGAGAATTGAAATATGAGGGGATTGGAAGAGGGAAATCCTTGCAACCTTCAGCAAAATAAACTTAGGGGTTCTATAGTTTGCAAACCTACATAGCTGAAAATGATGGAGCACAAGGAACTCCTGTTGTGTCCTGAGAAGCTCATAGAGCAATTAAGCAGTAAATGCTAAAGATCTGCTTTGATTTTTCAAGAACATGTCTTTATTTGTTTATCAGACAATTTTCTCAGTATAGCTGTGCTTTGCCAGTCCTTTAATTCTGTGAGGTATTTTTATCTTCACAATCTATTTTATAAGCATGGGATGTCTTGGTGGTCCCTCATCTATGTACTCACAGTTCAACTTTCTTGAGTTTAGCCAAGGTCAGCTGGGTGTTGCATCAACTTGTAGGAATGATATGAACAACTTACATACTGATTTTACAAAGTATACTGTAACTTTCTGTAACAAGGTTTTTAATAAAACAGAGAAATAAGACTGTTGCCTTCATAGTCAGGAAGAATAGAAAAAGAGCAGTACTTGGCTATACTGCAACCAATAACTAAATAATATTAATTAGACCTCATTTAATATTCTGATTATCTAAGTTTATGTTCCCAAAACTGATGCAGAAAAAGAGGAGGTCAATAGGTTTTATGGTCAAATTGCGATTTGAATATTCAATAAAATGTGGAAGCAAAATGTGCTGTTATGTATACTGGGTTGCAAAAGTTAAAAAAATATAGACACACCCAGATAGATTATGCAGAAATTGAATTGACCATATCATTGATACAAGGAAGTAGAAGAATTATAAGAACAAAGATGTGACCAGGGACTAACTGTAGTATTTCAAAGGAGAACATCCAGAATTGCTTTGAAGCCCAGAATATACAAGGAACTGTGGGACAAACAATTCCATAGAACAAAAAATAGAACTTTCCCAGAAAAGAAGCCAGAACCAAGAAAGACAAAGATGTTAGGACAGAAACCTAACAAAGAATTTTAAATAAGTTTTAGAAGAGTCAAGAAACAGTATTATAAGATCTGTAACAACATCGAAGAAAGAAACAGACTTGGGGAAATAAAGGAAAGCATTCCAAAAATCTTCAAACTCAGAAGGAGGTTCAAACCTTGAATTGATATACTAATAAACAGATAGTAATTGATTCAAAGAACAAATAAAACTGAAAGTAATCATAGCAGTTTTCCTACTGTTTTTAAAAAGACTTCACTGGATCCATCTGTACTTGAGTATTTTGGAAGTCTCTGAAACAAGGAAGATTTTTGAGAAGGTTGTCATTACATAGGGTCCTAGAGGAAACAGATTATTTGGATTTCTTTCAGTCAGGTTTCGGATTGGACATAACACAGAGAGATCATTGGCCTGACTGACACATGACCTCTGACTGAACTGATACGAGGGTAATTCAGTCATACTGGTTCTTCCTGATCTCTCACCAGATTTTGATGGGCTCAACCCAGATAAAACTGTTGCTGAGAGTTTTGGAATACTCTGAGATTGGAATGTTTCATTTTTACAGCTATGCTTAATGATCCAAACTTATGGCTGTTGCAGCGTCCCCTTGTTACTTGATTGTTATCTGGGCATTTGGCAATCAAATCACCTTCATGACTGGTTGCCAAGTGGCCTGTAATCAGGGGTGGTATTCGACTGGTTTGGACCAATTCGGGCGAACTGGTAGCGGTGATTTGAATTGGTTCACCGAACCGGTAAATACTACCTCTGACTGACCCTGCCCATGCCCCCCAGTCACCGCTTGCTCCTTCTGGCTGCTTGCTGCTTGCCCCGCCCATCCCACCTGCCCTATATATGTTGCCTTTGCCACGTGGCCCAGCTAATCACCTGGCCAGCTATGCTCAGCTCACTAAAGGTAAGCAATGCATGCCACCCAATTGCCCTTCGCCTTGGGTTGGGGGCCGGGGCCCAGGGATGCACCATTTCCTGGGGCCCTGGAGCCACCACCCACTTGCCGCCTGCCTCAGCCAGGTCGGGGAATGCACCACTCCCTGGCTGTGGCCTTGCCCTGGAGCCGCTGCCCGCTCACCGCCCACCTCGCTCACCTGCCTTCACACTTTGTGGGGGGGACATGGCGAGGGGAGGCTGCCTTTTATGCTGAGCAGCCTCCAGCCTCTGGTGGTCATTTTTGGCTGCCTTCTGAGCAGCTCTGCTGCGAAGCCATCCCTCTGGCTGCTGCAGTTCTCCTGGCCAGGTACAGTCACAAGTGGCACCAGCAGGCAATGGGGTCATGTGCGCGGCTGCCGCCCTGTTCCGCTTATGCACACGCACCCCATTGCCTGCCGGTGCTGCTCGTGGCCAGACCCGGCCAGGAGAATATTAATTTATCCCTGTACCTATTTATGTAATTTACATACATATTTATCCATCATAACGTATATATTTCTCATCCAACACTACAACACTACACCCTTGTCTCAGCTATCCTCCTTTTATCTAGCCATTCGTAAATTTTTTTCCAGATTATATAGTACTGTGTTTCACATTTATCCTTGAGCTCCTAGGTAAGTCTGCATTTCTGTGCAGTTAAGTATTTTTAGTAATATTTCCTTTTCAGTTGGGGTATCTTTCTCTTTCCACTTTTGAGAAAAGGCCGCTGTGAGTATATGCAATAATAGATAATTTGTATCTTTCTTATATTTACCCTCTGTCATTCCCAAAAGGAAAAATACCAGCTTGACTTCTATATTTATTAATAAAATTTCTTCAAGCCAACTCTTTATTAAATTCCAATATTTTTTTGCCTTTGAGCATTCCCACCACATATAGTAGAAATCCCCCAAAGGTGTCTTACACTTCCAACAAGCTGAAGAATTTCCCTTATTGATTTGTGCTAATCGGTGAGCAACTCGATCTGCCTGCCTGCCTTCCTGCCTAGACTTGTGGACTTCAACTCCCAGCAAAGCTGGCTGAGGAATTCTGGGAGTTGAAGTCCACAAGTCTTAAAGTTGCCAAGGTTGGAGACCCCTGTTCTATTGGGTAAGTTTTTTTCCCCTTTGGGAGCTTTAAAAAAATAGTTAATTGGGGTTTTTTTTAGTTGTTCTTTTTTTTAGACCTAGCTATTTAAAGTTTAGGAAGTTTTAAATTTAGCTGCTTTTATAAAAAAAATTTTATAAAATAAAATAATATTTGTGCAGCTTTCTGAGATTTAGTGTGTTTCTGTAGTGTTTCACTCTAACTACACAAACACACAAAATCTCACAAAGCTGTATGTGGAATTTTGTGTGTGTAAAGTGTGAAAGTTGGTTTTTTGGGCTTTTTATGGCTGTGAGGTTCCTGCTTGTTGCAGGGGCCATTTTGGGTCTAGCACAGCTGATTTTACATTGTGGGTGAGTCAGTTGTGTTGTGTTGTGTTGTGTGTGTGTGTAACATGTGAAAGTTGTTTTTTTGGGCTTTTTGTGACTGTGTGAGGTTCCTGCTTGTTGTGGAGCCATTTTGGGTCTAGCACAGCTGCTTTTACATTGTGGGTGAGCCAGTTGTGTTGTGTTGTGTTTTGTAGGTTAAAAAAGGGAAAAGATGTGACATTGACTTGGGCATGCCCACCCAGTCACCTTACCACCAAGCCCCGCCCACTAATTAAGCCCCACCCACAGAACCGGTAGCAAAAATTTTTAGATTTCACCCCTGCCTTCTAGTGCCGATAAGCTTGTATTTTTTGAGATGCATCCACTCACTTATCCATACCAAAGCCGCTGCTTGATAGTATATTCTCCAATCTGGTAGGCCGAATCCACTTCTTTCTCTAGCATCTTGTAATAATTTTAATCTCGGTTTTTTTCTCTTGCCAGATAAATTTTGAAATATATCTTTCCAAATTTGTAAAAAAATCTTTTTGGAGCCGAATTGGTATGCATTGAAATAGAAACAACATTTTCGGTAAAATATTAACGTTAATGGTAGCTATCCTACCTATTGAAGATAACTGTATTTCCATCCAATTTTCCAAATCTGACCTAATTTGTGCCATTAACTTATCGTAATTATCTTCTTTGAGTGTAATGCATCTTGCCATCAATTGAATCCCCAAATATCTAATTTTTTTTCGTTACCTGAATATTTA